TCAAAACTCTTCACTGGCTCCAGGTAGCGTTATTTTGTTCGGCGGCACAGATTGGGGTTAGGTGCGTGTTGAGCCTATGGGAAAGTTTAGGGTTAGGGTTAGGGTTAAATCAAGACCCTTTTTTTTAAAGCACCTATCTGTGCCGCAGAAGAAAATAGCGCCGGTAGCGTATGTGACCGAATCACGTTTAAAGGCCCACTGCACTACTTGTAGCTACTTGCGCCCTCTCTATATTAAACAATGCCTAATCGGTGACCTTTGGTCCTCCATGATCCTCTTTTTCTTATGGTAACTGAGAGCTGAGTTGATGAGATAACCACCTGTCCAGTGACCTTGCAAGGCGGTCTAATCCCTCCTGTAAACTAGTACTGATAAGCTTTAAGTTGTTGTTGCTAGTTTTCCATTCCTTGTATGACTCTGCTCCTTCCTACAATATCAAGTTGATCGTTAAGTATAAGCCTACAAGACATCTTCGTTCATCTCAATCCTCCTTATTAGTTGTCCCTGAGACGCGCAGTTCTTGGCGGGGATAGAGCCTTTTCTCATTCTGTTCCGTCCCTTTGGAATAAGCTGCCACTTAGTATTCGTAACTTAAATGCCCTCCATGACTTCAAAGTTGCTCTAAAAATCCATCTCCTCCTAAACAATGCTATTTAATTATTTCAATGTAGCTTAATAATTTGTGTTGTTTTAGTTTACTCTATTTTAGTTAAGAAAGTGATATGTTTGAGATTGTAATATGTACAGCGCCATGAGCGTCAGAGCCTGGCGGATACCGGCGCTATATAAATTCCCATATTATTATTATTAATACCTTTTTTCTTCTAAAAAAAGGGTTTAAAAAAAACTTTTTTAAAAAGCCGAATGTAGATTTCAAGATTTTTGGGTGGATCGGAAAATTAGCAATACAACATCTTTTTTTATAGGCCTTATCGTCGTCTTCTTCTTTGTATCCGTCATTGCCGCTGTCTTCGTCATCATCGCTGTCTATGTCTCCGTCATCATCGTGTCGTCGCCACGTCAGCATCGTCATTGCCCGATTGATTGTAATTTCTCATTCTCGAACGCTTTGCTGAACCTCCCTGGCTAAACTGATTAACGATCCTTCTTGTACTTGATTTATGATGATTGACATTCGTTGTTTTTGATGATTGATTATTTTCTTTTACTTCATTTTTTAATTTGATGGAGATTATCACCTCTGGGGTACACCCTCGAGACGATTCCGTTTACTATGATCACTGTTGCAGGTTGTTTTTATGTTAATTATATGTCGTCTGAGGGAGTTTTATTATTTTATTATTGTATGTAATTTTTTGTGTGTAGATCATCTATATTAAATCGTTGATATTAATTGCAATGACGACCTTCGTCATTGCCTTGTTTTCGTTCACATTCTTCTTATTAATATTCTTGGTTCTTCTTTGCAATGACGAATATCGTCTTCTTCTTCTTGTCGTCCGGAATCTTATTCGCTTTGCACGTAGTGCTTGTTATTCCTATCTAGGTCCTTTTCTCTTGCTCGATTCCTTTCAAACTTCGTAGGCGTAATCTCTGATATCCAATCTAGGTCACCTATTTTTTCGTTTTCTGAAATCACTCATGCGTAAACGTCCAGGTGCCATTTTGTCCGTTTCTGGTCCATTTTAAGGCCTTTCTATCTTCCTTCCTATCTCCACTATCCTAGATCCTACAAACTTCTAACAAATTCCTCTAGATAGTCTAAGAGATGTTCTTTCATCTGCGACGTATAACCTGTCCTTCAAAATGCCATCTTCATACTCAAAATTCAAACCTGAAACCGTCTCCGTCAAAAATCTCTCAAATTCTTGAAAAATAGACCCCTAAATAATCTAAAACTGCCATAACTTTCTCATATAAATTCCGTTTTGTATTTAAATCTCACAGTAACTTTACCTTATAATTGCACATAGCCATACCAAATTTCACGCTCCAATGGCTTTGCACAACATAAATAGCGCCCTCTAAAGTTCTGGGAATTGGCTTTCTCTCTGTCTCCATAATGGCTAGGCGAACCCGTACCCTTTTTTGGATTTAGATACTTGAAGATATGCCCTTTCCAGCCATATACAAAATTATATACCCTATCACCGACCAAATTTGAGAAAATTGCCCTCCAAATTCACCATTTTCAAGAAAATTGAGAAATAACTTCAACTTACTCTAAACCGGCGATCTTTATACCTACATCAATGAAACTTGGCAGACACATGTATCCATATACGTGACAACTGTCTGCTAAGTTTAGTAAATTGTTATCGCCAAAAATGATGACTTTACTATGCTTTACGTAATAGCGCGTTTGATGCGTGCAGTACGTTTTGCGCAGATGACAATGGTTTCAAACTGACCGCACTGAAGTGCCCTTTCGAATAATACCAAGTATGGTATATGTTCACGCAGAAAATTGTGAGTAAATGTCACTATACGAATTCCGCCGAGTTTCCGCCCTATTATAACACGTTTCGGCCATGACGTCATTTTTTAAGACTGTTATTCGGTTGTGTTAGTATGGGCGGCCGTTCGTGCCAAAGCACGCGTCGCAACATGTTCATCATGCACCAAGTCCTATTGGTTTTGCGAGCCCTTTCTAGATCCCTTCCTCTACTCCAATTCCCTTCAAAATTCGTAGGCGTAGTCTCTAGCATTCCTTCAAGGTCACTAAATTCTTCGTTCTCCGGAAACCCTCATGCGTGACCGTCCAGGCACCATTTTTTCCGTTTCGGGCCGTTTTGGTGACCTTTCTTTCGCCGTAACTATCTCCACTATCACAGAAGCTACAGACTTCTTACATATTGCTCTGGATAGTCCGAGAGTAGCTCCTTCGTTTGGCACGTAGAAACATGGCGTCATTGCACGCACATCGTTGTGACACGATTGCATTTCTAGTTATATAATCTTATTGTTTGATAGTGTGGTTTGTTCCTCGTGAGATGGTCAAGTTAAAAGTACGACCCCCACCCGCCCGGGGAGTTACACATTAGTTGATCAGTGACCTAACAAGCAGAGTCTACTGTATTGCGAATTTGGTAATTCTATATTTCTCAGGTGCCGAATGTACGTGAAAATGAAGTACCATGATTAATGGTGAAAAACAGTGCAACAAAAATGACAAATGTTTAAAATGAAAGGCACATAAAACAATTTAAATTTCCTTATTTCTCTTCCTTTTTATTCAATCATAGTTCAATGAACAAATAGTATACTAATCAATATCTATCAACAAATTCATAGTTTTCTAAAGTTATGCCATGATTATTATTGAGACGATTTTTTTTTGACAGAGCTCAAAATTATAAATTAAAAAAATAGTGACTACATGACATATATCTTTACACGACGTATTATCTAATAATATAAGAACATTAATCATTTGAGTAATTGTACGTGGATGGAATCATTAACTGAAATGTGAGATTCTATGAATGCTGTATCTATACGATACGGCCGAGCTAAAATTAAGAAAACAAATTACATTCCAAAAAGTAGCCCCCATCATCATGAAGAGAACCCCCATGAGTAACCGGAAGGGGGCTCTTTTTTGTAAATTAAAAAGAGCCCCCTTGGAAAAAAACAGCATATTAATTTGAGGGTTGATTGTCAGAAAAAGTAACTATGCTCCTAAACTTTTGCTCATAATTTTATAACCTAGAATCGTTTAAAGATTTCGTTTTGCAAACAAATTATATGGTAGTTTAAAAAAAAAAATGTAATAATAGGGTGATCACACTGCCTGTGCACACAGTCTGCCACATGCACATAAAAACACACAACAGCAGTCAGTTGGTAGAAATGGCAATTTTCGTAAATTTATTTTTAAAAAACTGAACAATATTTTAAAACTTTTATTTCACATATCTTTCAAGCATACCTTTAACTACAATTCTGTGTAGTTTCATTGTTATAGGCATGTGGGAAATATGTTAAATTATTAATTAGAATATTGTCTTTTCAGCCATGTGTGACATGGCCCGCTGATCGCCCATTGACTGTTATTCTGCGTGGTGAAAATGCACGTCAATGTATAAAACTCCCCTACAAAAATGCAATATCCTCATGTGTTTCAATCATTGAATCAATTTGTTATTTACACTTAAGGTAGCCACAACTGTACTGGGATCACCAAATTTTCCTTTTCTCTGAAATTCAGTCCCTGTGGAATGTTATGGCCTGTTGAATTAAATGGTTTCTCAGAAAATCGTCATAAATCCTCAAATCTGACATTTTTTTTAAAGAAGCTATACTGTGATGTAGCTGAAAGTCTGCAGATTCTTATCATTTGTTCGGTTTTTCTGAATAATTTGTGAAACATATAAGGAAATAGCTGTAACGGTGATCCAAGTAATTTCCATCGCTATATTTTATTGGCATTGCAAAAGTATTTGGTATTTAATGTTAATATTTGGTGTAAATATGATCTATAAATATATGATTTTAAAAAATGCCAACAAAATGAACAGTTTGACTTTCCTATATATATAATAAGCTGAAATGACCTAATTTGCATATTTGATGAATATTCATAATTTTTTTTTCTTCAAAAAAAAAATATTTCCATACCTGTCTGATATACATAGGTTTCATTGATGTATCATGTTCGGTTTTGATTTGATTACATATGCGCATATTAATTAGACGGACTTAGTTATTTTCACAACTTTTTCATATCTGCAGATTCGCAAAAATGGCAAAAATGACTTATTTTGTTTGCTTCTGTTTTCAAAACGGTAATAGATATATGAATTTTCTTTTTTGTATTTTTTATCACAAAGATGATATTTTAGTGTCTGATAATTTAATTTATTATTTGTATCCAAGAAAGTGATGAATTAAGTTGTCAACTTTGTCGAATTTTGCCATTTTTGCCAATTTGACCATTTCTGGCAAGTTTTTCGGTAATTTTGCGATATCAAAAAAATGGTATAAAATCACAACGCATTGACTGATTTCAATTCTGTTTTTTATTTGTTGAAGCTTTCATAAAGCTTGATCATTTGCAATCATCAAATAACATGTGTTTGTAGTACTTATTTTTGGTGTGCTAAACCTAGTAATAATAAGAGGTTATAATTAATCAATGGTTGAGTAAGCACACGTTTAATAATAATTTTTTATTTTCATATTTAAAAATTTGCAAAAGTAATATTATCATTGCAGTTTACTGTGGAGTAAAACATGTCAAAAAGCACTGTTTTACCACAAGTGCCATTTAAAAATAAAAATCGATAAAATATCAAACAGCATTGTTTCATAAACCATAATCAATGCATTTAGTCATGTGCTGTTTCACAACAATGTACAGGCACGCACAATGGCTTGTGACTTTTGAATTGGGCCATTTTGTCTTTAATCTGTGCTCATTCAGCCATACAGTAATAAATATTTTCACACAATGTGTACATAACAACTGTACCAAAATTGCGGTAAGATGACATTGTGATACATTCTAAGGGTTTTGCAATTAAGAGCAGTTCTTTAGGGGTGTAGTTAGTAGTTACTTTTTGTGTTTCTGCGAACGGAGCTGACCGTAAGAGCAACTGTTTACGATCTGTTTAAGGACTTCATGGACGGGCTCGGACTGGTCTAATCTCTATAATACGATTCTATTTCGTTCGTTAACAGTCCACGATACGTCCAACTCGTTATGCCCCGTCCACAGTCAGTTCATATCAAGTTCAGATCGGGTAAATTTGACATTTCCAAGCAGTCCAAACCATTCGTACTATAGTTCGCAACTTCTTCTAATGAGTTTATAACCCAACCACCCCGTTCGGAGACAGTTCAACTTGTCCTCATTTCGTTCTTAGTGCATTCGAACGCGCTCTTATCGTACGTGTGCAATCCCGTCCTGGTTCGAGGGCTATACAAACCCAGCGCGTTTTTTTCTTTCTTCTTCTTCTTGCGTTCTTGCTAATTGATGCTCGACCACATCACGTTGTAACACATTCCTATTAGGATCGAAGTACGGCAATTCCGTTCGTAGGAAAGTCCATTTCGTTTTAAGTACGTTGTCACTCCGTCTAATTGCAGGACGGTGAAAATTTTGAACGTACTCAAAGTTCTAGAGCACCCTTCGCGTCCAAGCCAGTTCGGGCCCGTCTATGAAGTTCTTAAAAAGATGCTAATACGTTCACTCCGTTTACACACAGTTTGAGCCCGTTTGGCCACATTTTCCAGAACGTAGTGAGAACTAGTTTGGTGTGACGAGGGCTTCACTTGAATGTCTTGATCTGCAAAGATTGAAGCGTTGAAGTTGAATGGCAAGAACGTGCTGTATTGGGTTTGTTAGTTCGAACGCATTAAGAACGAGAGGAGGACGAGTTGAACTGTCCCCGAACGGGATGATCTGGTTACAAACTAGTTAGAACAATATGCGAACTAGCGACAATGGGTTTGGACGTATTGGTAACCAGGGAGAACTGGTTAAAAACGGGTCTAAACTAATTACAGACGGGCTTGGACTGCTTGGAAATGGCAAACGTATCCGATCTAAACTGACTATGGACGGGGTACAGACGAGATGGACGAAATGAGGACTGTTTATGGACGAACTAGGATCGTATTAAATACATTATTTACACATTCTACCCCGACCACAATCCGTTTAACGATTTTCTAGGACGGTTCTAGCACGTAGTGAAAACTAGTTTGGTGTGATGGGGGCTTTAGGATAGCATTCACCAACTTCTTTTGTTTTGCTTTCCAATCCACAATTGTGTCAACTCTCAAGAACGTCTTTTAAACACCTTATATCGCTCACAAAAAGCGCGCGAAAGGCCGCCAATGGCGGCCCTTTCGCGAGTATTCGTTAAAGCGAGATATGCACAGAGAGTGATATAAGAGAGAGACAAGAAGACAAAAAAAAGAATGGGAATGAGAAAAAGGAGAAAGGAAGGAAATTAAGGAGGGATGCAAATGAGTTTATAATATGCAATAATTCTAATTTTCCTTTTTACATAATGCACTTATCAACTTAATTATTTATACCCTTACCAAGTTTGTTTTCATTTTTAAGTTTGTGAAAAATTAAGTTGTATATTAAAACTTACATCTCAAAATATTCAACAAAGGCCCCAATTCATCAACCAGTCCACCTTTCATTCTCAGGTTACGAAAAACACAAAAACATCAAATTTACGAGGGGGTATGAATAATTAGTTGTTAACTGTATATAATAAATTCTACATGTCATATCATACATTACATATATACATACATAAATTCACCTGACAGTCTGGACAAAACTGTCCGATTTGAACTCGTACGGGACTCCCGCTTGGTTTCTCCTCTTAATGATAATACTAATCCACAGTGTTTATTAGGGGATTAATACGGGTGTCTCTAAGCGCAATATTGTCTGACTTAAAAATATTAACCAAAACTTATAATAAACACACAAATTTTGAATCTGTTCTTTATTCAATAAATCATGCATATATATATATATATATATATAATAATAATAATATAAATGAAATCAAACATAAGATCAAAAAAACAAGGAACAACACGGTGTGCACCTCCTTTGACCGACTGCAGAATATCATCCATGAATTAAAAGGGTACGTTTTCAGCAAGGACTTAAATTTGTGATTTTAATGATTCCAACAGATGCAGATTTTAATACAGACGTTTTTAATATGCTGCTGAAATATAAGATTGTTGTCGATTAAAACACCAAGGTCTAGTACGTATCCACTACCCTTCAGTGAATCATCTCCGGTAACCAAGTCGGGAAAGGAATCGGTGTTTCTGAATTTGGAAGTAATGTGGATCATTTCATATTTTCGTTCATTAAGGCAAAGTCTATTGTTAAAAGACCAGAACCTAATGACTTCAAGGCAACTGCTAAGTTTCCGAGTCGCATCGTACTTCCCGGCTGAGAAGCGGAGCTTCACCTTGTTTTTAAAAAGTTCCTGTATATACATGCCCTATATGCTGAATGAGGTCTTCAACTCTTCATGTGTCAGATCTTCAGTCATGTAATATTTTATACTGCACTATATTATCATGATTATGGTATAATAGACATGTGGTTTTTTTCCAAACAGCGATCGATAGTTGTTGATTTCAATCTATGATGGTCTGCTCAGTTTTTAGTGTTTTATGAAAATAAATTGATTCAATCAACCAATCGATGATGTAAAAATGGCTTCGGCTTTGGATTTGGGGATTACAAGTGAACGTTCTCAGCCCCTTCATACACAGGCATCTTGGCTTTTTTGCCTAAGCTATTTGGAGTCTGACCTTGAAAGAAGAATTTGCTATCAAGGGAGCGGACTTTGGTGGCAGCATCCACGTGGTAATGCTGCATCATCTCGTAAGCTAGTCGACAAACCTGCATTAAGAGAGAGCAAAGTATGAATTTTGTAGTTTGTGTAAATATTCATTCACTTATATTTTGCATAAGCGTTCCCGCGCCAGAGGTTAAAATTTAGAACAAGATCAAAAATCAAATTTGCTTTAAAGTGACTCGGTAACTTTGTTGAAGGATGATGACAAAGTTGCGTTATTTTTGTATGAAGATTTTATTTTTATATTCCTCCTACTGTACTTACCTTCTAACATGCAAACAATTCTCAAACCACAAAGATATTTATGTTTTTATTTGAAGGTGTCACTGTGCGACGCCCTCTAACAGTCCCAACCATTTTTGAATTTTCCTAACCGTTTTCCAAGAAAACAAGACATAAGACAGGCATTAAAAAAATCTTTCAACACTTAAATGTCTGAAATGGTATACAGAGCCAATTCATTGCTTTGTGACGATTTACATTCACCTAAAATGTAATTAAATTGTAATAATATTTTTTTTTTTTTTTTTTTTTTATGGTCAGTTTTTATTCTTTTCTCTATTGAAACAAATTATAATCATAGTACAAATTACAATCATCATATGTAACTCTCACTGCAAATGTGATGACATTATAAGTCAGTATAAATTTTTGTCTTACAAACGGCTTCAAAAGAAACTTACATAGTTAGTTCCTATACATGATATTTGAAACAAAAATTCATATTTTCAAAGAAAACATATGCAGTTGTATAATCCAAATTTTTTTGTTTTAACAATGTAGCAACTTATACTTCCTTTTATTACTGTTGTCCTGAGAGAAAAGTTTTCTCTTTTTGTTAACCCTACCCTACCCGACCTCTCCCTTATCCCCCTCCCCCCCCCCCCCCACTTAACCGGTGGACGACTGGCTCTGGGTTCCAATTGTTTGTCTAATACTTAGGTTTTCCCATTTAGAAAAATGAATAGTGAGAGTTCCCCTCATTGCTGCCAATTTCCTTTCTTCTACTTTATCCCCTATTATACTATTCTTTATTTCATTAAAAGAGGGTGGTTTTTTAAGTTCTCTATTTCTATAAATCAGATATTTAACAAGAATTAAAACATGATTCATTAATTGATATTTTCCTTTATTTCTCTCCTGTTTCCCATACAGAATTTCCTCCAAACTACAGTTATGTATTTCAAAGTCTAAAAATCTCGTGCACATTCCCCACACTGATTGTGCAAATTCACAAGTATAGAATAAATGTTTATATGTTTCTTCATCTTTTTCGCAAAATGAGCATAAGTTAGTCGAGACAAGACCGAAACGGAAGAGGTGATGGTTTGTATATAATATATTATGTATAAGTTTGAACTGAAACTCTCTTTATCGACTGTTAAGTGTACACTGTCTTAGTCTTAAAAATATGTTTTCTATTTCCTTACAGGAAAAACCATAGTTCCTTCCAATTCTCTCAAAAACCAAAGGTTTAAAATCATCTTTCTTTATTAATTGTACATAAATTTGTTTTGATTTTAAATCAGCTATATTAGTTGTCTTCTTCCCCAAAGTGAAATCAGTTCCAGAATTATTTTTTTCTTCTCCTTTTCTAAAATTATTTTTCCAACAAACTGGTAAACAGGCATAAAAGTGCTTGATCTTTTCAATTTCATTTACTTCAACACCTAAATCGATAAAATGCCTGTCACTTTTTAGTTTACCATCGTTTTCCAGAATATGTTTTAATTTGTAAATTCCTTTGTCATACAACCTCTTATCGTATATACAACTTCCTTTATATCGAATAAGTTTATTATTAAAAATTACCACATCACCAATGTCTATACTCCTTATATGTCTCGTATTCACCCAATCTTCTAATAAATCCATATAAAATTGTGGAGCTGTCACTTTTAATAAACTTGGTATATAGTCACATAAAAATATCAAATCTCCACCCACGTGTTCAGTGACAAAGTTAAAATATTGTTTCCATTTCATGTCTTCATCTTTGTTTAGAAGTTTTTGAATCCACATAATTCGCTGCGATTTAACTTGTGCAGAAAAATTTAACATCTTTAACCCCCCTTGGTTATAGTCTAAGAACATGGTGTTTCTATTGATTTTATCTGTTTTTCCTTTCCATATGAAATCAAAAGTTAATTCATCCAGTGAATCATAAACCCATTTTGGAACAGGAGTAAGTGACGCCCGATAAAGAACTTTAGAATAAATGTGCACTTTCAATAGTTGAATCTTACCCATAAGTGTTAAATCCCTTTGCTTCCAAAAATTTAAAAGTGTTTTTATTTTACTTCAGATTTCTTTATAATTTAGATCTTCTTTCTTGTGTTCATCGAGGGAAAAGAAAATCCCTAAAACCTTAAGAAAGTCAACTATTTCGCCAAAAGCAAAATCACAATCTAAACGTTGACATGAACCTAACCTTAATATTTTAGTCTTGTCGTTGTTTATTTTCAGTCCAGAATTTTTTTCGAAATCTGCAAATAATACTTTTAACCTATTAATTGATTTTTTATTGCGAACAAAAATTGTCATATCATCCGCATAAAGTACTAGTTTAGTTTCCTTATCTCCAAAATTAATATAGTTGGGAGAATCGATCAGGTCAGTTTTTCCCAATTTTTATCATGAATAATAAGTCTTTTTTCACTCAAACTTCAGATTATCTTTAATTTTACATCTAGCATTGAAGTCAATACCTTGGCACCATTTTCTTTCATCTGAACAATGTTACCAAGTCCCTTTAATATACTTGGCAACCATTTATTGGGACTGTAAGTTTTCATAGTAGGCTGATTTCGAAGGTACTTCTTCTTTAAAGCCCCACTGAATTACTTATAGCAGGTGGATTATACCTCCCTGCATGGTCAGTGACAGGTGGTTATCTCATCAAATCAGCTCTCAATAAACATAAGGAAAAGGGACCACGGGGGACCATGTTTGCTATATAGAGGGCGCAAATAGCTATAAGTAGTGCACTGGGGCTTTAATTAAGCCATGAACACAACTGACCGTGCATATTTGTTTGTTTGTTTGTTTGATTGATTTTATTTCTGCGTTGAACAAATGCAAGGTTATACATTTTTACAGAGGTATTACATACATAGCAAATCTTATACAATAACCTTAATACAAAGCATACACAGAAGTATAACAGATATTTGTATATATTTTTCATTTAATTAAAGAGATCAATTTTAGAACGCAGGAGACCGCCATCGTAGGCGGTTAGGCTGGAAATGGATGGCGGCCTCGGGAGAAGAAAAAACAGATTTAGCAACAAAACTCTCTTGGCAAGACCTAGTGATCAAGTGGGCGCAGAGCAATTGCAGGTGAGGGTGCAACAGTTGAGTAAAAGGAATTTTAAATCATGGTTTTAGACAAAGCTATTATACTAATTTAGAGCGTTTGGCACATAATTTTATGATTGTATTATTTTTCGTTTAAGAGTGGCTTTCAAGGAATAGAGGGTTGAACAAAATTTGAAATAGAACAAAAACACGATTAGGTCATCATCTAGGGCACCCCTTATTCCGAGAAAAAAATCAAGTAGTAAGGCATTCTTTATATTTCTTTTCACACTTCTTTTTTTTTGTCTTTCTCCCAATCTCTCTCTATAATGCAGAATGAAGGGTATATGACTGTGAAGCTAAATACCTATATTATATGTCACAGCAAGCAGTCAGGAATATGCCTCTACAGATAATGACGGGTGCCCAAGAGTTGTCACCAGTGGCGTAGGTAAGGAAGGAGGGGGGAAGGTGTGCCCTGGTTGGCTCTTCAAGGACACATAAAACACGGAAGAGAGGAGGGGGTCTTCTGCTACCGTGCTAAATTTTTTGGCTATATACCTCCAGAGAGTTCGTTAAATTTGACACCCGGATGAAAAAGGAATGAATAGAAAACACCCCGGACAATTATCCTAGAGGGTAGTTGTCTGGGGGTAGTTGTCCGAGGGTAGTTGTCCTAGGGGGTAGTTGTCTGGGGGTAGTTGTCCGGGGGGTAGTTGTCCTGGAGGGTAGTTGACTTGAGGGTGGTTGCCTTAGGAGGTAGAGTTGTCCTAGGGATAGTTGACTTGAGGTGGTTATCCGGGGGTGGATGTCCAGATACGCTACTTCGCAATAGAAAACGTACGAGGCAGGGGATATAGGGATGTTTAAAATTCAAATTCGAGCAACAATCACCATATATTTGGACAGCGACATGCTCGAATATCGTCACACTTGGGTGCCTTAATATCATCATGATATGGCAACTAGGTCCCCGCATATTCTCCTTTTGCATCTTGGGCAGCAAATTTTGATGATAAATTAACAGTTCAAAGAGATTAAAATTGTCATTTTAGCTCGCTACGTTCAATCGCTCGCTAAATCTGGAAAATAATAAAATGACTCTTGGCAACAAAATGCCTTAAAACTGTCATATTCGGACAGTGTGTAATTTTGTTCGCGTAGTAATATCTTCACCATACAATGAAAGCATCCCTTACTCGCGTGTACATTTATGTACAAAGGTAGGGCGCAATTTCATTGGTTGTACCGGGTCGGTCGGTCGGAAATCTTTTTTTTTTTACTCCCTCTTTGGGCTGATATTTCTCAGTTTGAATGTTTTAATACATTTATTTCCTTTTAACAAACGGTAAAAATCAAAACTTTTTCAAAAAGACGATCGCAGATTTCAAGATTTTGGGGTCGGTCGCCAAAGGCAATACAACATCTTTTTTTTAAAGGCCTAATCGATCGCCAAAAGCTCTATAAAATAATTAGGGTCATTTTCCCTCATATAACCCATGGACCATTTAGATTTTTTCGGAAGGAAGACTTATGTTTTTTGAAAATTTATATTAAAAGGGGGAGATGTTGTAAGGGGGAGATGACGTGGACTGCTAAGGGAGTAACATCAACCAGCGCTCTGTGTATAATACCCCAATCCCCTACCCGACTCATTAAATTCAATAGGTTTAACACTTCAAAGTGACTCGCCCCTCCCCCTCTAAAAACAGTAGATATAATCATAATAACAATAAGAAGAAGAAGAAAGGTTAAGTTCATCGATATCAAAAGTCAAAAGGTAATTATATGAGTGAAGGAGTAAGTGAATGAATAAACAAATAAGCAAAACAGAAACGAATTAATCAATAGATAAATAAATTTATACAAAAATATAATAACATTAATACATATACTGCAACAGAAATCGCAAAAATTCAAGAAATACATACATTTGAGGAGCACGTGCAAACGAGAAAATCCGAACGAGCCAAAAGATGAATGTCAACGATGATACCCATAAAAGATTCCTCTGACAATCTTGTTGATACTTTTGCTGACTGAGATATAGTATTGTCACTTACAAACACGTAACCAGGATATCTGTAAAACAAAATATATACAAATAAAGTCATGTCGCAAATTTCATCGCAGCAGTGACATAGTCGAGTGGTTCAAACAGCTCCGGCACGGAACTTCATGAAATGATTGTGACAATGCGATTTATTTTTCATTTATTATTTTATGTTCCTAGAACTTTATCAATCAATCTCTATGACTGACTGTTTGGTTGATCTATAAAGTTCCGATAAGATATAAACTTTATCTATGATCAAGAAGGACAACAAAAAAAAAGGATATGAACTTAACCTTTTTATTTCATCTGTCAGCAGCATCCCCACCCCTCCCCCCCCCCCCCCAGCCATCAAAATAACAAGCAGCCTTCTGTAATGAAATCAAGAAAAATATTCAGTTCTTGTATAGCGCATTCACATTGTATAACGTCCCTATGTGCGCTACAACACCCGATGGGAATTATTACACTAGCTTTAATAGCTCAGGCAGCCGTTATCAGCGCACAGTACATTTCAAAAAACAATCCTACCAGCAGTACCAGGTACCCCATTTACTTCACCTGGGTCGTGTGTGGCATATACCAAAAGACATTAGGGACTCGAACCGCGGACCATGTGATCCATAGTCCGGTGACATATCCACTCGACCACGATCATGAGAGATGAATTGATTTTTCTAAAAACTTAAATGCCTTTTGATTGCAAGTTCTGAGTTTTATTTGAATTTTACTTCATCAAAAGTTACTTTCCAAAAATTAGATGAATTCATCCAATGTGGAATGATGAGGCCTTTGATGGGGCTGAGTATATGGACACTATCAGGGGCGGATTCAGGGCTGCCAAGGGGGCCTTGATCTCCCTTTCTTTTTCCTTTTTTACTCGCTTGCTTGTCAGAGATCATTCTTCTTTTCTGATTACTTTACAATGATGATAATCACAATTCGTAGATTTATTTCTCCCTTTGTAACTGTTTATTGATAACTAGTATAGTATATTAATTTCAATCGTTTATTTGTAATCCGTTTATATTTTTCCTTTGGGATTTAATTGTGTACTGATGATAATCTAAGATCATTTTGGATTACATATTTGTTTTCAATCAGACGCCCCCCCCCCAGCCCGACCCTTCCTTTTGCTCGATAGATTTTTGTTGTTGTTGCTGTACGGTCGTCGTATCTATTTTTGGGGTGGGGGCCGGGGGTCGACTTTTATTTTGGTTTCATTGTTATTGCTTGCTTGTTAGAATTCGGGTGAAATTGAACCCCACTCCCTTTTTTAAAATCCTGGATTCGCCCTGGAAGGTGTTTAAAGGCTAAGTCCATTCCAAAAAATAATTTGCTTTTAATAGATGCAGAAAAAAAGAGAAACAGAGCAAAACAAATTTGAGTAAAATCGGATAAATATTACAGAAGTTATGAATTATTTTTAGAGGATGAAAAACTATGGAACTCAGACAATCAATACACAAATTGCAAATATGGTTATCAGTTTTTGACGTCATTGCCTCACTATTTATCAATTGCTTTATATATGTTTATCACATTAATTTCCCTTTTTATCCCCAAAAATTCGATTTCCCCATGCCTTGCCCAGGTTATATCATATGTATCATATTGCGTGCATTAACGTTCACAAAACATTTTATGAACTTTGATGAATTGATACTATTTTCTGAATATTGTATATTCATAATTATTGATTTTTATATAAATAGTTTATCAAAATTCCCCGTTTTCATGATTTAAGTGACAAAAACTACTCTATATTAGTGCATCCACAAACAAAAATATTACTATCAATATAACTTGGCTGCTGGTGTGAGGAAATAAGATTTTTAGGGGAAAATTGGAAATTAATAACATTAATATAAAGAAAAACGACTAGTAAATAGTTACTGTTATGTCAGTAGCTTCCAAAAATACAATTTTTTTCAGGGGTCCCAAAATTTGGATGACATACCAATAGATATTCGACTGAGCCCTTCACTAAATAGTTTTAAAAGAAAATTCAAACTGTACTTATTAAGACCTCATACTTAATAGTGCAATAACCTAATGTATATTCTTAATGTTCATCAGACAAAAAAGTGTGTGTTGGTGTGCATAGGCGCTGGAAGTGAGAGAATGGGAAAGTGTGTCTGTTTTTTGTTATATGGGTGAGAAGACATGAGCCCCTGAACGCTAGCGTACTGATGGAGGGGGGGGGGTATTTCTTATCCGATACCAGTGGATTACAAATGTTGCTGAAATGACAAGATTTTCAGGTATTTTTTCTAATTTTTTTTGTAAGTCATAACTTTTTATGCGTTTTTTGGAAAATAAGAAATTCCAAAATTTCCAGTCGGGCGAAAAATATGCTTATTTAGAAGCTGGGCTCGGGGGCTCGAGCCCCCTCACTTTTTGATAAAAATATGTTGCAGAGAAAAAGAAAGAAATAGAGAAAAAATAAGTGGCCTGCCAATGTCACAAATGAGGTATCAAAATATGCTCATCTGACCGTAATTAAATGCCTAAAACCCCAGAGCTTCCGGGGGCTCTGCCCGCTGGACCCCATCAAGGGCCCTAAGACGGCCCCCTGGATGCTCATCTGACCGTAATTAAATACTTAAAACCCCCGACCTTCCGGGGGCTATGCCCCCTGGACCTCACCAAGAGGCCTAAGGCGGGCCCCTGGAATAGCGCTCCTCTGACCGTAGTTAAATATTAAAACCTCTGAGCTTCCGGGGGCTTAGCCCCCTGGACTCTCCGCCAATTAGGGACCTGCCAGTGTCAAAAATAAGGTATCTAAATATGCTTATCTGACCGTAATTTAATGCCTAAAAACCCTGAGCTTTCGGGGGCTCAGCCCCTTGACCCCCTGCCGGTGCTCAGGCCCTGGACCTCACGTCAATTTATGCTCTACCTGATCGTTAATACTCCACTTTGAAAAACGTTCCGCGGGGCCTCCATGTAACGTGTAGGGGTGGTGGTGATGCAGATTTGTCTTCTGCCCCCCGGCCCCTTCCAAACGTTTTTGCTCATCACGTCACTGCCCCTGGAAGGTGAGCCCCCTGGAATGTCCCCCCCCCCCCCAATCCCAAACTGCTTCCGGCGCGCCCGTTGGTGTGTATGGGAGAGAGAGAGCGTATGGGTGAATGCAAATTATTTCCTTTTTTAATTTTTTTTTATAACAAATACAAAAATTAAAAAATCTACTTAGTGTTTTATACAATTACTGGAGACAGACTTTTACATAAGGCCCGGCCTTCCTGTCTAGTCTCCAAATAATTTCAATAATGTACATGTTTAGAATGTTTCCCTTTGTTCCTCATGTCTTCTCCACTTGTGTTATTTTCATGTTATTTTTTAAATATTTTGTAACTTCTATATGTTTGTTTTCTTTTGTATACTTTTAATGAAAGTATTGAATAAAGTGAACTTGAACTTGAACTTGAACTTGACGCAATGACCTGTCAGACTCATTAGTAAGTTACCAATTTGTTTTGTGATTTTCAAAGTTTTTCATTTCATTAAAAATTAAAAACTGTCATATTAGTTATCCGATTTTGCTTACACTTTTTTGATTGGTTCGTCTGATTTTACTGCTTCTATTGAAAGTAAGATAATTTTGGAGTGGACTTGCCCTTGAGAGACATCCAGCAAACTGGTTTCATCATAGTAATAGAGCCTAGGTGTCATGGTCTAGTGAATACGTCGTCGGACTGACGATCACAGGGTTCGCGGTTCATGTCCCACAGCCATATGGCTCCGTTTAGTCTCATTTCACAACGCCCCCTATCGTCAGAGCATGATCAGAGTCAGCAGCCTAACATGTTAGCCTATGGACGGTTTTTTTAAAAATCGTTAAAAAAAAATTAAAAAAAAATCATTTTTTGTTTAAACGAAAAGCACATCCACCCCGACGTACGTTATCACTAGCTCTTTCATTGGAGCCCTCATGTCTCATTGACTTTTGAAAGTTCACCCACCGTAATTTTTCACAAAAGGTTGCAAGCTCGTCATTGCCTTTAATACACATGTGAAACAAGTCTAACTTTGGACTCAGTTTACCAAGCGATTTGAATATTATAGGTCGAGCACACGAAACATAAAAAGCATGAATTATCATAGATCACTTCTGCCTAGAAACAAGTCTAACTTTGGACTCAGTTTACCAAGCGATTTGAATATTATAGGTCGAGCACACGAAACATAAAAAGCATGAATTATCATAGATCACTTCTGCCTATTTCATTATGTCCATTTCATCCAACCCCCCACCGTAATTTTTCCATTTAGTAAAAGCAAACATTTTGCCGAGTTAAGCAAAAACATGAATATTCATGAACGGTCAGACAATACAGCCTTTTAGTACGTAACGTATAGTGAATGGGAATGGGCGATGATTCGTTCAGGAGGTAGAGGTCAGTGGTTAATGCTGGCAATGTTCACGCGAGCGAAAATGAGACAATCGGAGCAATATGTTTCGCCCTGGATCGAGGGGGGCGAAAGGCCCTTGCCTCCCCCCAGCAAACTTAAAAGAGAGAGAAGGAAGGGAAGGGGAAGGGAAAGAGGAGAGAAAGGAAAGGAAAAAAGAGGAAGAAGATAGGTAGAAGAGATCAGTTGCGATTTTTTTTCCCGCCAACAAGATGTGGATCGGGGGACTGAAAGGCCCTTAACTCCCCCTCTCCCTCATCAAAGAGAGAGAGAGAGAGAGAAGGAGGAGAGGGAAAGGGAAAGAGGAGAGAAAGGGAAAGGAAATAAAGAGGAGGAAGAAAAGAAACGGGTGAAAAGATATGCTTTTGCGCCCCTCTCGCCCCCCCCCCCCCTCCCCAAACAAGACCAAGCACTAGATACGCAACTGGACACCACTGGCGTACTGACGGGTGGGGAGGGGTTTATTTCTAATTCGATTTAAATCGAATTAGAAATAAACCCCTCCTCACCCATCAGTGAATGAGTGATTTACAAATGTTGAGAAATGACATTATTTTCCGGGATTTTTTCTTACTTTTTAGTAGAGGCCTACATGTCAGGGCTTGCGGAACGGCGGGGCTCGAGCACCCCCCCCCCCCCCCCCGAATTTCTTGAAAGAGTTTATTAAAGACAAATAGAAATAAAGAGAGAAAGAAAGAAAAAAAATAGTGACTTGCCAGTATCACAAAATAATGAGGTATCAAAACATATGCTGATCTGACCGTTCTGGGGCTCCGTCCCCTGGACCCCACGCCAATTAGCGACCTGCCAGTGTTACAAATAAGGTATCAAAATATGGCTAAAAGCATACGTCTATCCGACGGCAGGACAGACGTATAGTCGTATAGTCGTATAATTGTATAGAATTATGGCACTTCAGCCCGCACGCTGTTGCATTCACGGGTACTTCGATGGATGGATAGACGTATAGTCGTAAAGTCGTTTAGTAGTCTAGTTGTATAGTTGTACAGCTTCCTGCGTTCTGAATGACCGGCTGGATAGACGTATAGTCGTATAGTTGTATAGGTGTACGGATATTGGCATGCTTGGGCGCCATACACAGTGGCACTAATGTCATTTGACAACCCCTAAATTTACATTTGCCACTCTCCACCGTGTCCGCGTCACACTGTCCAGAAGTTGACACCGGATGGACACACGGGCCATTCGTGAGGGCATCTTAAGTCATCGTATGACCGCCGGGGGATTTGTCAGGCTCCGGAAGCAACTTCGTGAGCGGTGCCAAGTCTTTGGCATGCCAACAAATTGCCAAAAGACCTTGCGAAGGTTCATTTTCGTATTGAATTCGTGAGTCCATAATGCCCTCCGTAAGGCCATCAGGCATTTATCACCGCACGAAGACAATACGAAGGAAACAAAAGGCTGCCCGATTGCCTTCGGAAGGCAACACGACTACGTAAAGCCCTCGCAATGCCATAGTGTAGCCATAGTATTATTTTATAGTACGATGACATCGAGATGGGACCACGGTGTCGGCGAAGACAGCCGGGTTTAAGTAGCTGAAGCGTTTCCCATGTGTCATGGTAACGTGGACATATAAAAAGCCAGCCTAAGAGCCAGAGGCGGCGCACACGGGGGTATGGCGGGGGTGGGGGCACAGTGCCCTCCTACTTTTTAAAGTACCCTAAAAGTTCCCTTCTTACAAAGGAAAAGTGCCCCTATAACTTCGTGAGAAGTGCCCCTTTTTTACATAGAAAAAGGGCCCATTTTACCTTGAAAAGTGCCCCTATTATATTTTGCCTATGATAAGTGCCCCTTTTATTTTGACACGTCCACTTTTCCTTCTACAATTCCCCCATTTTTCTTTGCAATATGTGTCCAATATGTGTCCATTTTCAATTCTCATAAGTGCCCTTTTTAATCTCTAGTAAGTGCCACTTTTCAGGTACGAGAAGTGCCCCTTTTCACTTATGATAAGTACCCCTTCACCTCTGATAATTGACTTATTCAAATTTGAGACGTGCCCCTTGTACGTTGACAAGTTACCCTTTTCCTTTGTAGGAAGTGCCTCTTCCCCCTTTAATAACTTCTCTGTTTTAACTCTACATGGTGCTCTTAAGCCACGATTGTTGTCCTAAACTCACTTTTTCTTGGCTTCTTCGAGCAGACTGGCCTCGTCTGTTGCTAAGAAGATTCTCCTGACCCGCACTTCTTGTCTCTTCTCCAATTCCTGGTAGAATTCTTTGGCGTAGACCATGTACTCCGCGATACCGTGAAATTTGGCTTCCCAGATGAGTTTATCTGTACGCCTCACTTGAATGCTTTCATTGGGGGAAAAGATTAACGTGAAATCCATGTTAATCAACAAGATACCCTGAAGAGCTCCAAACCCTCAGCTCGTTTTGTTTTGACTGACAAAGCTGAGAATGTACCTTTAGTTATTTTTCGTTAATGCTATTGCTCTATTAGTGTACTACAATATAATTTGACGACATGTGTTACTTTCAAATATATTTGATTATTTATGCTTAAAGTAACAAGAAAAGAAAATACAAATAAAAGAAACGCGACGATGCCTGCATACCGAGTACACAATTGCAATTCATCCTTGCAATTTTACAAACCAATCGGTATAATTCACTCAGGCCGTAACTAGAATTTTTACTGGGCGTGTACACATTACATGTCATTGAGGGAGTGAGAGCGCAGAGTGCCCCATGCCCTGCCAGGGTATGGGAAAACTGTTTAAATTCTAAAAATCAATATTTTTTAGTTGAAATGGAGGGGTGAAGGAGCATGAAAAGAAAAGACAATTTGGAAGGGAAAGAGGCCCTTACACATAATAATCACAAAATGTAACCAATGCAATATTGACACATCATTTTGTATCAATGTACCTGTATATATACCCATACAATCTGATGAATACAATATCGAAGATCATCTGCAACATATTATTATTTCTCTCCCTATATCTGGATCTACATTTCTGCTTTCGCGTTATACTTTGCTGATGTTTGTATTGGTCTGATTTCCGAGCGAGCAATTTTTTGTAATGATTTGTGAGGTCGCTTTAAGATAATACAGTGCGTCCCAGAAAAAACGAAACCGAGAAGTATCGATGTTTTATCATAACTTAATCATAATTATAATTGATAAATGACACATATATATTTATATATATTTGTAAAGCTTAGATTCTCCTCTTTTAATTGATGCCACTTATATGATGCATATTTCACGCATGAGCTAGGAAAACGAATTCGTTTGATAAAATTATGGAAATGCAAGCACTACTTTAAACAAACAGAACTTTGTCATTCATTGCTCATTTTTCCTGATTGAGGTGTCAAATGAAAGGGCAGAGACTCAACTTTCTAGAAATGTGATTTTCTCTTTGAAATTCAGATACCGTCCGCCAAATGATTTTTTGGTTTCCTCTCTTCAAATTCATTTTGATCTCACATGCGTGAAATATGCATCATATAAATGGCATCAAAAGAAAGAGGAGGGTCTAAGCTTTCCAAACATTTGTCATTTATTAATTATAAATGTAAATAAGTTATGATAAAACATCGATAATTCGCGGTTTCGTTTTTTTCTGGGACGCACTGTATAACTGACGTCAACATACTTCACTCGATCAATTTAATTCAATAATTCCGTATACTATAAATGCGATCGAACGTAGAGAGCAAGCTTGGAGGAATTTCACAAAATATTGCTCTCGGTTGCCTCAAATAATGGGCCCTTGTTGTTCTGGGGATGGAATGACGACGTGTCGTGTAGCATTTATACCGATAATGGCTTATTTTTACCATAAATCATTTTAGGGTAATGTGTATGGCAGTTCCTTGGAATTTTGGAACCATTGCCACATTTGTAAAGGTCATTTTTCACATTTGAAAAGGGACAGTTATTCGCTTTGAAGGGTTCTTATTAGAAATGAAAAGCTAGGGTACTCATCAGAAAGCAAAGAGCACTTTTCAGAAGTATTAATGGGGACTTGTCAAACGTAATAGGAGAATTTATCGGTATAGGGCAAAAGGGCATTTCTTAAAAAAGAAAGGGACACCGATGAGATTTTGTAAAGGGAAACTTAAAAGGAGAAAAGGACAATCATTATAAAGAAAGGGACAATGATTTTTTTTTTTGTACAGGGACACTTAGAATGATAAAAGGGCACTAGCTCATTTTAGAGGAAGGGTCACTGATAAGATTTTGTATAGGGACACTTAGCATTATAATGATAAAAGGGCACTCGATCATTATAAAGAAAGTGACACTGAGATTAAACATGTCACATAAACTAAGACATAGCAATATAATAGCCAGTATCAAACTGTAGGGTAACATAATTCAGTACAATACAGTACTATCCAAGTTTCAGACCGTTGATCCGTGTCGTACCGTACCACTGCAGTGTATACTTATGAATTGAAAATACTTATCCTGAGAATTAGATAACAGGCTTTGGCTGGAGTTTCGAAGGGGTATCCCTGTTATACTTCGGTGGGTTGACTTGAGGACTGCCACTCATCTTTTACCAATTATAGATTCCTTTACCACGAGTGAAAAGAAATTAAATCAAGTCAACTCAAATCAAATCCAATTCATTCGTCTCACCCAACGATCGGATGTGTGAATCCTAAGGCCGCTGTCTCATTGTCCATGAATTCTTGGAGTTGAGGCTGAGGTCTCAGAATGTAGGTCATGATCTGACCTATCCACCAAACGGCAGGGTTACCATGTACTCTTTCCAGTCTCTCTGAGATGTCTTCTGGGATTGCCAATGGCAGGAAGTCCGGCCTTAGGTCCTGAGATAACCAGCCTACGATGGGAAGTTCCACCACTTGGATGTTTTCATTTTTTTCAGGACCTATAGATGGAAAACAAGATAAATTTCAGTTAATTCGTAAATACAAATTTCTACTACATATTGCATATTTTACAAACCGGTATTTTCACAATCATCTATCATTTGACTTGTCTCCAGAATCGGTTTTATCCACCATCCTATGATCATGACGATGCTGCATACTAATTCGTTTACATCCATTTTTTTTAATAATGAGAATGCGAATCGTGTTCAAGACTAAAAAGTCACAATTGTCTCTGATTGACCTTCGTCTTTGTGACATTTGTCCTTTGACCTTCTTACCCCCAAGAACTTGATGGGAAGTTCATTTTCCTACAAAGTAGGGCCAAAATGTATTCAATGAAAAACAGACAATACCATATTGTTCAAACAATAGTACTAACAATTACATATATAAAATATTTATCATCGTGGACATTCATGCATTCCTTAACATACACTTTTTTATAATAATTTATCGATGAATTTCCTTTATAATGTTTACATTCACATATAAACTTTCTAATTCCTTTGCCTGCCCGTCGCGCTTTTCCAACTGTAAAACCATATTTGCTTGCCTTCTCACCCTTTCCAATCCATGTTGACCTCGATCTTACAAACGCTCCTTTACATTTATGTCTTTAAGATTTATCTATTTTTTGTGTTTTATTCATCTCACCAATAATATCTTCATTTGTTTCCCTATCTGACTGTTCACTCAAGGTAGTATCATATTCCTTTTGAAGTTTATTAAAATCATTTTTTTTTTAACATCATGATTTTGTTTATATATAGTATAACATCGTAAATTATTTTTATCATCACTTTACATATTTCCCATTTTTCCTGTGCTGACAAGTGTATGCATCCCAATTTAACTTGTTTAATCAAATTACTAACACCAGTCTGATACTTTGCATCCACTAAGATTTTATTATTTATCTTTCAATACAATTTGCCCCTCTTTATAATTTTAAATTTCTATTTAAAAGAAATAAAACTATGGTCGCACTTCAAAGCCGTTCGGATGTCCGTAGATTGACCGAAATGGGAAACCCTCTTTGACATTGACCAATAACCTAACCTAGAAAATAAAGAGAGAGAGACACCTTCCTCCATGTAAATTGTCTCTTGTTTGGATATAAACGTCTCCAAATATCTACCAGATTGTGCTGTTTTTTTAAAGTTCTTGAAATAAAACCATTGAAATGGTGTGGCCATGTTTTACGCATGCCGCATCACCGTCTACCATACCAAGCATTCCAGAATGACTTTACTGGACGCAGACCTCGGGGACGCCAAACAACGAGATGGAAGGACCAATTTCGGTGGGATGTGGGATTACCCACACAAGAGGCAGAGCAACAAGCCCAGGACAGATCAGACTGGAGCATGAGTTCTCGTAGGGGAGCATGGGGACACACCGTCCTATGCACCTAAGTCAGTCAAGTCAAGAAATAAAACTTCTGAACATTATCTCCCCTCCTGCGATCAAAATATTATTATCTTCTATTTCATTATTCAACCAATTTAAAAGCATTTTATAAAAGGGTGCTTTCCCTGGTTTTACATCAAATAATGACATGTTTCAGCATTCCGCTATGCTAGAACCCACAACCATCTTCCAATTTTACAGTAAGACGATTTGCTTGAGGACCTTTCCTCACATTTAGCATACTAAAATTATGATATCAATCCCGAAACTTTGATATAAATTTACCACCATCAAATAATAGCAATAAAAAGCCTATAGCCCTTTAAGCCAAACCATTTGGCAAACCATAATCTAATGATCTAAACTTAAAACTAAATGATTATGAACATATAATTATTATTTAAGGTAAATATTTCCTTTCTCCCATATTGTAAATTTGCTCATACTTGACGAATAAAACCATTCAATCGATTAACAGATTTTCCAAGCGAACAAGTAAGCAAAACAATATCAATACAGACCAAGGAGGATATTAGCTGGTATCTCTTTGTACAGACGAAACTAATATTCAAGTATGGAAAACTGACCTCCAATGGCAATATTGCTCATGAGAATTGTGTTTATAACACTTTCGGTCGTGTATATTGCTTGGGTTCTTCGAGTAGCTGAATACATTAGCCCTAATTTCTCGTCGTCTTTACACAGTTAAAATTTTTGTGAACAAGTTGTTTAAAAGTTTAAACAACTCTTGATTAACGGGTGACCTGATCTGAGAGTTGTTTAAAATGTTAAGCATCTCGAGTTGTTTAAAGATTAAACACTTAGTTGATCAACATTTTGAACAACTTGTTTAAAATCACAATTTAAACAACAGGGTTGTTTAAAGAAAGTTGTTTAAAAAGGAGCTGTTGTTCAGTGGGGGTTGTTTACACCAACTGTGTTGTTTAAAGAAAGTTGTTTAAAAAGGAGCTGTTGTTCAGTGGGGGTTGTTTACACCGACTGGGTTGTTTAAAGAAAGTTGTTTAAAAAGGAGCTGTTGTTCAGTGGGGGTTGTTTACACCAACTGGGTTGTTTAAAGAAAGTTGTTTAAAGAAAGTTGTTTAAAAAGGAGCTGTTGTTCAGTGGGGGTTGTTTACACCAACTGGGTTGTTTAAAGAAAGTCGTTAAAAAGGAGCCGTTGTTCAGTGGGGGTTGTTTACAACATAAGGGTTGTATAATATGGGGTATAATTTGGGTTTGATACTCTGAATAAGTGCACCACTACTTCTGGGTCTCTATATAGGTATATGAAGACTCACAACATGGTAGGGTAATTCTGCAATTCATGAATTAGCGCCAAAACAGTTCCCATTTTGCATGAGCGCGCATGCACGCACGTATAAACTGCATATAATATAGGGATGCATGCAATCTCTATGGCAAGGAATTTAGCACACGTTATAACCGAGTGCGCGATCAGTGCCGAACTGCATGACGCGACGATTTTAAGTCTACCTTTATTCTGACATTTGCGTACAGATACTGAAAATTTAACTGTGAACTTACGCTATAAGTTAAAAACTTCAAATTGGTTAATAGAAAAGTGATTTCAATTAAGCCATTGAATCCCCAGTCACTTAGAAGCGCGTCGGTAGCTTGGTCGGCCGTGATGTGTGTTGTGTTGTGGGTTGGAAAGTAAAAACTATTAAGCTAAATAAATGTAAGTATAGAGACAAACAAAATGGAGCCTGCAGAAACACGTGTGGTTGCTTTGGTAGTTTAATCCAGACGCAATTTCCATGTGCTTTTACATATGTATCAATCTGTGTAGTCAACAGAAGACCCTTGCATACACTTGCATTGTGTGTATGCATCTAATATGAATAACAATGAGCTGTGCCTAAACAGCTGCACTGCATTTCTAAGTGGCATGTTAATTTCAATTGCATGTTAGTTTCAAGGAACCTGTTTCTAAACATAACAATGTGAAATAAAGCTTTAAGCCAACGCGCACTTTACTGGCACGAGACACATGACATCATTATGTAAACAACACTGTCTAAAAGCTCTCGTATAGTAAATATAGCAGTCATTAAATTTTAAACAGCGAATGTTTAACAAAATTACTTTCGTTTCGAGCAACATTGTTTACAATTTGTTCAACTGTTGTTTAATGCTATGGTCACATTACCCAAAGGTAGCCTGCTCGGCGGCCGAGCGGCGAGTTTTTAACCAATTCTGCCCGGCGGCTGCCCGGCCACCGAGCGGCGACCGGCCAGTCACCGCTCGTTTTTAGGGCATCGCTCGGTCGCCGCTGAAGTTTTAGCGCGGAGTTAAAATTTGGGCGGCCCACTTTTCACTCGCCGCCCAAAATACGCTCGGTGCCTGGGCGGTCGCCGCCCGGGCACCGAACTAATCGCTGGGCGATGCCTAATTCCAGCAGCGACCGAGCAGGCTACTGATCGGTCGGTCGCTGCTCTAATTTGTGACCATAGCTTTAGATAGTGTACAACTGTAAAGCTATGGTCACAAATTAGAGCAGCGACCGACCGATCAGTAGCCTGCTCGGTCGCTGCTGGAATTAGGCATCGCCCAGCGATTAGTTCGGTGCCCGGGCGGCGACCGCCCAGGCACCGAGCGTATTTTGGGCGGCGAGTGAAAAGTGGGCAGGCGCCGCCCAAATTTTAACTCCGCGCTAAAACTTCAGCGGCGACCGAGCGATGCCCTAACAACGAGCGGTGACTGGCCGGTCGCCGCTCGGTGTCCGGGCAGCCGCCGGGCAGAATTGGTTAAAAACTCGCCGCTCGGCCGCCGAGCAGGCTACTTTTGGGTAATGTGACCATAGCATAAGTGAACATCACTTTTTTAAGCAGCATTTTTACTGTGTACTGTGTTCTCAATGTGTGCATTTGAAGTGAAAAAGAGAGGGGATGTCCCTGAAATTTGCAACTAAGAAATACATCCTTGAAATAAATGTTTTTAGGAATGCCTAAACAGCCCATGATACATTATCTATGGAATGGAATTTGTTGCCTCTAATGTTTGTTGCTTCTAATTTTAGATAAAAAGGTTCAACTGCAATTGGTAACCTCAACGTGGAACAAAAATGTAATGTTATTGTAATTACCCCATTATCAAGGATGATCTTCAGGATTTCACTGTTTGTATTTCTACAGGGTCGAATAAATTGCTTCAAAATCCTACTATGCAGTACTGGTGTGTTCGATGATCTAAAGAATAATTTGCCCGCGAGAGGGAAGATTTGTGAGGTCGAGATGCGATCGATTGGATGTTATCAAGAGGAATTAAGCCCAATATTATAATGAAAGAATGGATAAGACCTTTGATAGTTTACGTAATTAGGTAAACTATTAATGCTAGCAAGCTTTTGGGGGAAATATGTGAAAAAAATTGATCACAGTCACTTTAAATTAGGGCATCCGTAAAGGATGCTACGAGAAACTTGTTCTTTCAGAGAATGGGGAGAATGAGGTGGCAAAAACATCTAAACAAGCACGTATTGTAATCACTCATGTCTCGTTAACATGACTACGATTCTATGTCTAAAAGGGGGAAAGTCCGTTTTTCTGACATTAGGGCATTGTGCTCTCTGCCCCCGGCTCCAGTGCCTTAAATTGTGGTGGTTTGACGATGAGTGGCTCAAAAAAATCCTTGGAATATGGACATTGAGGCTAAAAATACAATTTCATGACATCTAAACTGATCTCAAAATTCTTAATTAAACCTAATTGTTATCATTCCGTCCCTCTATGGTGATACATGTTATTAGGGCAATTTCCTCAAATATATACTTCAGATATCTGGAACTTGAAACAAGGCTAAAGTTCCAGATGTTCACTATTAAACCCATTAGTCTCCCTGTAATCTGATGAATGATATCATCATGTTTGACGTTCATACCTCAAACGATTCTCGAAATATTACAACAATAAGGTTAATTACCTTTCATTTTATGGGAATTGACCTTTATGACATTTTACATACATACATATTCCAAAATCTAGTCAGATCGTTTATCTATGATGATACAATTATCACCATGTTTAAAGTTCGTACCACAATTGATTTAGCAGACCCGAATATATAATGCCTTCGGCACCACCTTCGATGATAAAATGATATTAACAAATAAG